GTTCGATCTAGGTGATTCATCCAAAATTTCTTGACTGGCTCAGGCTCTTGGGATACAATGTCCTTGACGAAAAGGGGCGCCAGTATGAGGATCGTGCTCCGGGCTGTCGCACAGATGAAACATTGACATGTTCTTTTCACGTGGATTCTTCGCTGTAGGACTACAAGAAGTTCCTTTGCGAGTTCATTAGTGGAGTTGGAGGCTTAGTTGTTTGTGTGGCTTGGCTTTGAAGGGCAAGCGCAGAGATGCCTTGCAGCACTTGCACCGAAGGCTGGACGGTGCTCATCCCTCGACTTTGACATGCAAACCCTCCAGCGACAAATCCTCAAGATTCAGCTCTCCGGCCCAACTGGGAGAATGATACGGAAAGGATCCCCACACCCAAGCGGCCCAAGCCTCAAGCACCGCAAAAGCCGTCTGTACGCGAGCAGCCAAGGGCTGCCATCCGTCGCTTCCTTGCTGCGAAGCGGATGGAGAAGAGAAAAAGGTTTGGCCGGGACGGGCCGGGATGGCGGGTGCTTCGATTGCCGGGTTGGAGGAGCACTGGGGTGGAGGGTGAACGAAGATTCGACTCCTCTTCGGTTGGTCTGTTCAAGGAATTCTTGGGGGATTTTTGTTGCACCATGACACGCCTAACCCGTCCGCAAGGCAGAAAATGCGCAGTTTGGATCGCCGCCCAGAGGTGGCGTTCCATGGCTGCAGCTTGCAGCTCGTACTGTGTCTACCTGTTGCATCTCCTTCCACCCTTTCACACTGCCCAGCCGCCCATGTCTTCGAAACAAAGCCACAGCAACAACTCCACGACGAACTCCTTGCGTGTCGAGTCCTACGTTCTCTGATCCCGCCTATGGCTGCACAAGGAAGCAAGTGACCTCAGCAAAGCAGGACTGCTCGGAGGGCAAGGGCCGGCAAGGTCTTGGCAGAAGAGAAAACATGGGATGCCAGAATGTTCGGAGGCTGCTTGTTTGGCCCGCCAGGACCTAGCCGATGCGCCGGCCAGCGTCGTTCGCGACTTTGGACAGCGGCCACTTGGCGAGGGAGTGAGAAGAGCTGCACATACTCGGACAATCTTCTGTCTGTGTTTCTCCTCCCTCCCTCCGTGCCCTGCTCCTCGCCTTACTCTCATCCCTCGCTCTGGCTCTCTCCCTTGCTGTCCCTCTCCCCTTCCCCTCCCCCTCCGTATCTCTCTCCGTCTCTGTTTTGCTCTGCCTCTCGCTTCCCCCTCGCTCTCTCGTCAAGCCCCTCTCCTCTACGGGACGCCACCCGTCAACATACTAAAAGTCCCGTCAACATGCCAAGAAGTGTTTGAGACGCCTACCGTGGACATGCTAAGAAAAGATGAGACGCTTACCGTGGACATGTCAAAAACGGTAATCCGTCAACATGCA